TTAAGGTGGTCTAGAACCTGATCCTCTCCTATAGTGAGCCTAAGGTCTTCAAATTCTCTGGTTTTGCAAGAAAAAAAACACACAACGAAGGAGGCAGGGAACGACACAATCTACCTTTTCTCGGAAAAAGGAGGAGGACATCTTTCTTAACAGTCTTCTGTTTAGCTGTGTTAAAGATTATTCTGTGTTATCCTGCATGACTATTTGTTTTTCCAGCTATTATGCAAGAAGGTCTCTGTCATGCTGGTTTGGAACAAGGTTTTCTTATAGGAAATTAATCCTATTCTGACACAGGTGAGGCAATAGGTCCTCTTGGGAAGGGTACCTAGCAAGTTACAAGATGGTAGAGAAAGATAATCTGGTGCAAGACAATGGTCATGTGTAGGCCTTGAAGGTTTTGGAGCTCATTTTGTACCTCAGAGTAGCACAGAAGTGAGAAGGCGCAAACATGTTAGAACATGTCAAATAGAGAGGGGATATTCTAGAGAAGAACTGGTTTTAGGATTCCTTTTGAAGGCAAAATAACCCAGAAGATAAGTGAAAATATTATCATTTTGGTCTTAATCTGGAATTAGAGGTGAGTGAGAAGTACTTCACAATGTGTCTCCTGGCTATGACTTCACTGGCATTTTGCCTGGTCCCAGTTTGATTTGCTTCTGAATATCAGAACCTACACAATCTTTTTCACATAAATTATTCAGCCTGACATCTAGGTACAGAGTCAGTGTCACTGTATTAAAAAAATCCCTCTGTTGAAAAATACTCTTCTTGAACACAATTGTTAATAGCTCCCAATATCCAGGTCAGCTCTGATACTGTGCAGCTGTGTAACCTTGCTTCAGCCTGCTGGGAAATGAGCTGGGGTGGGGGGAAGCTGCTAGACACACTGTTAGGGGCTTCCTGCCTTCACTCAGGAACAGCATTTAAGCTCATCTTTGCCCTCAGTCCTGGCCTGAGCTGCACTACAGCCTTTACCTGGCTGCCCACATGGTGGATCAGACCCACTGACTTGGCTGCCTTGTCCCCCACTGGCTGCTGTCTGGCCCAAGCTGCTGCATGGCAATTGCAAACCAGGTAAGAAATCACAGAAAGTTCCATCTCTATAATGAGCCAAAAGGTAATGAAATCCCAGGGAAATCCTTCTAGCAATCATTGATGATTTTATGCCCTTTCTCAAGTGATTCTGTTAAAATCCAGGTATCTTTAACTTTATATATTTTTGGTTTCAGAAGTTTATGATGTGCATGTTACACTTTTAGTTAGTTTTCTGGGTTACAGTCAAGCTATTTTAATGTCTAAATAAATTCACCAACATTCAGTGGTTATCTTTATAGTACTGATGATTTAGAGAAAGATGTGTAGTTCTCTAGTTTCCATATATTTGACATGCCCCTGATAACTCCAAATACTTCCATTGTCTCTTTGCTCTGTAAAGCACTGAAATGAGCTATTACGACCATTATATCAGCAGTTTATTTTTCATAATGAAGAATACAAAAGCAGACAAAAATAAAAACTTGTTTCTCATGGAAAAAGTATGTCTTCTTAACAGTATATAGTTTGTCCCCAAAAAACATCTCACTTTCATCCACATGAGATTCTGGCTATTAATACAATGTAGCTCTGCGAAATGTTACTGGTGTCATATTTGAAATACTATGCAGAGGTGTTCAGTGCTTGTCTTGCCATAATGGAGAAGTCAGAGGCAGGTTTTTTCTTTCCTGGAAAACCTGGATATTCTGAATTTTCTCTGATGGAGGTCTGTTGTAATAAGGGAGTGATTCAGATGAGGTTTTCTAGGTCTAATCGTTTTCATAGGTAAACTGCCAAAACCAGGGACTTAAATTTTGACACTCCTTCCCTTTCATGTGTGTGCTCATGCATGAATTCAGACACTTAAAATCAGTTTCTGATAAGTACTACTTTAAGCACCGTCAGGGATTTTAATTATGCTAGATCTTCACCATTTATTCTAACTGTTCAATTTTTTTAAAAAAAATCTAAAATTTACAGATTAAAGATTTTCTTATTTGAATAACCAGTTGCAGAGTTTAGATCTGATTTACTATAGTGTACCTACCTTTCTACTCATGAAGATATAGATGACTGGATTATAAGCAGTGCTTGACTTGGCAAAGAAAGATGGGATGATGGCTACTGTTGGAGTTACAAGGTTGCTATAGCCGTATGTTACCAGGAGGGAAACCACTGCATAGGGCATCCAACAAATAAGGAATGTGGAAATCATTAAGAAGCACATTTTAGCGACCTTCTTTTCATATTTTAGAAGTTTGACCACTTGAACAGTCTGGAAATCTTCCACACAGCGAAGCTGCAGAATTAAAAGAGAAAATAGTGAAGTACAATAGCTCTATATTTTATTTCAAAATTGATAGTTCTACATTTATTTATAACTAATTTGCTAATTCAGTTTTAGGCACAGACACTACCCACCTTATCTTGTGAACTACAATTCTTCTGGAAGTTTATGTCATGCATACCAGACTTCTACTGTGTATATTAGGTGTAAAAATACAATTTTAGGAAAATCAGGATAGCATATCTACTGAAAAACAAAAAATCCAGTGATGTAACAAAACATGCTGCACTTATAAGTATTTTAGAAAACTAACTTGATCTCATCCACTGGCATAAGCAAGTTCAGTTTACATTTAGTGATCCTTTGTCTGACGGGTTAGACAATCCTGTAGATTTGTGTCACCAGCAATCTTTAAACAGAAGAAAATTTCACAAATAGATTTCTCTGTACTCCTCTGCCACTCAGTTTGTTACCCTGAAATTATGAAATCTCTATTTACAGCAGAATACTAGGCAGCAGGTTCCCAGTGCTATCTGAGTGAGTCGTAAAATGAGGAGAAGACGGGACATGCACGTGAGCATTCTCTATAACAATTATCAGTTTTTACAATACTGTTGACCACAAACTTGAATGGATACAGACTAATTACTCACAGAATACAGAACATTAACACTTTCTGACACAAAGGATCTGGACTGAATTAAAATGAGTTGCCTTAACATGGAAAACTGTTTTAACAGGGCTTAATCTCCACTTGGAAGAGTTTTACAGGGTTATCTTCTCAGGAGCGGTGAGAGAGTTCTTTAGTCAGGAAAACTGCAGTTTTATTTTTGCCCTTTTTCAAGGCAAAAAAAAATCCTGATGTGGATTAGTGAGTGTGAGCAGTTCTGTAAACTGCCTCCCCATAAAACTACACAACAAATAGATCTTGGTAACTCTAGGTTGGTTCTCCTCCAACCCTTCATCCTTTCTAGTTGGTATCTGACATGGGTGAACATTAAACATTCAAAAGTTGGAATAGAAAGCAACAGCATGAACTTAGGCTCTGATCCAAGCTTAATACACAGCATTTTCCACTAAAAATGTTACATTAAGAGAACTCTTATTTGAATTAACTTACCATTCTTACTGCATAGACAATATGGCCATAGCAATAGGCCATGATCCCAACAGGTGCTACTAGACAGCTAAGGAAAAAAAGGATCACAAAGGAGGTATCATTGGGGTCTTTTGACTTCCAGTCCACTGAGCAACCTAATCCATGAATTTCCAGTGTGTATCTGTTCCAGCCCAAAAGAGGTGCTCCAGTCCAGGCTAATGAGTAGAGCCAGATGTACGTGATAGCCCGCCAAGACCAAGAGAAGTCAATCACTTTTGCATGGACTACTCGAATGTAGCGTTCATAGGCAAGAACAGTGAGAGTCATAATTGAAACAATTCCTGTAAGAAAAATAAAGAAAATCAATTAAATTATTCACAAACATTGCAAATTGGACTGAAGCCCTCTTGACAAATGCTTCCTTTGCTGGCAGGTTAACTCAAAATTAGCTGGCTCATATCAGGAATCTAACACCAATAAGCTTTTTGGGTGACACCTAGTCACTCACTTCTAGCTCAAACAGTATCACTAACTTCAAAACTCCTCAGAAAAGGATGCTGACATGTGACCCATGACATAGAATAGCCAAGAAGTAGGTCAAGGAAAACAAAACAAAATAGAATAAACCAATACTCCTTCCTAGATATTATTTCATTAAGTGAGAGATCATGCTCACATTGAGCTTTTTCTGTCAGCAGTTGAGGGGTTTGCTGTTGTTGTCATAGGGTTGTTTGTTTTTTTGGGGATTTTTGTTTGTTTGTTTTGGGGTGGGGTTTTTTGGGGGCAGTTGTTTTAAGGCTGGGGTATTTGGGGGTGTTTTGTTTTGGTTGGGGTCTTTTTGGAGGTTTAGCTGCCATGTAAAAATGAGATAATCAGCAACAACAAAATCTGTTAGAAACCTAGGGAATTCAGAGTTGAGGCTCTAGTCAAAGAAAGCCTTCAACAAGTGAAAGCATAGATGTACACCTTTAATGTGAACAAAATGGCTAGGAGAATTGCAACTTCTTTCATGATTTCCTGGAAGTCTTTGCATTCCAAAGAACTACCAGGAATGTTGCTGTTTATGTTGCTGAAGGAGTCTCATTTGGAAGACACTGGGTTATTTTGAGTGTCCTTTCCTATCTTGCTGTTATCACAAAAATATCAGCACTGTTTTCAATTATTTGTGCACTTTCTTTCTTTTCAACTTCACTGCACACTTACTAACATGTTATGCCAGAAATCACAGATTATATTCAGCTTTCAGCATTATCTTATCCACACACTACCAATAAACTGCTTTTACTGAATGAGCAGAATCGAACTACAGGCAGCATCTCTCAGCGTTCAGACATTGCTGACTGGAACAGAAACAGGAAGAGGAACATCTTCTGAGTAGTGTCATCAGCAGTTCTGAAGCTATTTAACTCAGAGGCATACCTAAGATTGCACAGGGGGTTTGTTTTGTTTTTTCTTGCTTTCCCCTCCTTTAATGTTACCAAAATAAAAAAAGTATTTCATGCACTTTTTATTTTCATACTGCTATACTCCCACAGAACACAGAAAACAGCATTGCAAATTTGACTGTCCATATTTTTAACATGGAAATCCTAGAGAGTAACTTTTATGACTTAAGTTAAAACACCCATTACTGCATAGGAATGTTTTAGAACTGTTTCCATATTACATATGGAAATATTACCTATTTCCTGGGCTTGATATTAATCCCAGGCCCTGAGAACAAAAATCCAGGTTGATGCAAACACAGATCCACCATCAGAGGTGATAAGTGAACTATCACAGGAGCCTGACACCTATAAGTAGATGGGCCCTGACACTGTCCACATGAGGGTTTTAAGAGAGGTGGCTGATGTTGTTGCGAGGTCTCTCTCCATAATCTTTGAGAAGTCATGGAGACTCAGGGACAACCCAGAAGACTGGAAGAAGGCAAATATCACCTCCATCTACAAGAAGGGCTTAAAGGAGGATCCAGGAAATTACAGGCTCATCAGTCTTGCTTCAGTCCCTGGGAAGGTTATGGAGTGAATCCTCCTAATTCCCCAGTTACGAAGCACATAATTGGGAAATGCCCACGTGGATTCACCAGGGGCAAATCATGCTTAACAAACCTTACCAACCTCTACAACCTGTTCAGTTGATGTGGGGTGAGCACTGGACATTGTCTACCTGGATTTCTCTAAGACTTTTGATACAGTCTTCCCCTGCCTCCTCCTAGAGAAACTGATGTATTATGGTCTAGACAAGTGGTCTGTGTGGTGGGTGGGGATCCGGCTGCACCCAGAGGGTGGTGGTTAATAACTTTTCAAACTGGAGACCTGTCACTAGTGGGGTCTCCCAGGGATTGATACTGGGGCCAGCGCTGATGTCCTGGTGGACAAGCAGCTCAGTATGAGTGAACAGTGTGCAGCTGCAGCAAAGAAAGCCAACAGAATGCTGGGTTGCATCAATAAAGGCACCACTAACAGAGATAAAGAAGTGATTATCCCACACACTCTACTCAGCACTTGTTGGGCTGCACCTGGAATACTGTGTTCAGTTTTACTTCCCACTACGCAAAATGGATGTGGACAGGCCGGAAAGGGTCCAGATAAGGGCCACAAAGATGACCAAAGGAATGGGAAGCCTGACATATGAGGAAAGGCTGAGAACTGGTTTTGTCCAGCCTTGAGGAAACAAGGCTCATGGAAGGCCTTATCACCACGTTCCAGTATTTAAAGGGTGGCTACAAAGAAGACGGAGACTCCCTTTTACAAGGGGTCACATGGGAAAGATGAGGGGTAATGGGCACAACTTACTCCTGGGGAAATTCCAGCTGGACACCAGAGTAAATTTTTCACAATGAGAACAATCAGCCATTGGAATAATCTCCATAGGGATGTGCTGGATTCCCCAACACTGGACAACCAATGCTGTTTAATATCTTCATGAATGACCTGGGTGATGGGATGAAGTGTACCCTGATGAAGTTTACTGATGATATCAAACTGAGTGGGGAAGGAGACCCTGCCAGGAGACCTCGATAGTTTGGAAGAGTGAACTGACCCATATGAAGTTCAACAGGACAATTGCAAGGTCTGGGAAAAGATAACCCAGGAGTGCAGCACAGGCTGGGATCTGCCCAGCTGGGGAGCAGCTGTGTGGAAAGGGACCTGGGGATCCTGGTGGCCAATAGGCTCAATAAGAGTAAACAGTGTGCAGCTGTGGCAAAGAAAGCCAAGAGGATGCTGGATTACATCAACAAGGGCATTAGCAGCAGAGACAAAGCCCACTCTACTCAAAGCCAGACCTGGAATACTGTGTTCAGTTCCCACTATGCAAAAAATATGTGGACAGTCTGGAAAGGGTCCAGAGGAAGGTGATAAAGATGATGAAAGGACTGGGAAGACATGTGAGAAAGGCTGAGAGATGTGGTTTTGTTTAGCCTTGAGGAAAGAAGGCTCAGGGGAGAACTTATCACCATGTTCCAGTATTTAAAAGGGTGGCTACAAAGACTCCCTTTATACAAGGAGTCACACAGAAAAGATGACGGGTAATGGACACAAGTTACTTCTGGGGAGATGCCAGCTGGACACTAGAGGAAAATTTTTCACAGTAAGAACAATCAGCCATTGGAATAATCTCTCAAGTGAAGTGGTGGACTCCTCCACATTGGAAACTTTAGATTCAGCGGGACAGGGTTCTGGGTTATCTTGTCTAGACTGTGCTTTAGCCAAGAAAGGTTGCACCAGATGACCCTTGGGGTCCCTTCCAACCTGGTATTCTATGAATCTTCTTTAGTGGACTGTATGATTTGATTTTACCGTAAAGTCTGTGTAATTTGAAGGTTAAACCTAAGATTACAAGGTTTCAAATACTACCACAAGTTAAGCCCTCAAAATACAAGCAGCTGCACAAATCTCAGTTACACCACAAACTCTTGCTTCTGATAGAAATTACTGTAATTCTTGGCAAGAGTTTTCCAGCTTGTAGAAATTCCAACTATTTCTTTTATTCCTAAATCTAAAGTACCAAAAAACCACTCCAGGTAGAATCTCCAAAACTGTCAAAATCACTTAGGAGCTTACGTTCCAGTATAAATCAGTGAATCATAAGGTCCAGTTTTGCACTGGGGGATGGGGGAGGCCCTTGGTTTTTTAATATGACTTCAGTACAGAGAAGAACAAGACTAGAACAGAAAAAAAATCTGAAATTCCTCCCCACTATGCATCTTTTCCACTCTGCATCAACATGCAACCAAAGCGCATTCAACATGCCTTAACAAAAACTTTGAGAAAGAAGCAGGACAGGTTATCGATGAGGTTGTTCTAGTTATGTGAGGTAGACCATTAAAGTATGAACTGACTTTAATATGTTTGAATAATCTGTAACAACAACTGAAAACTTTATATGCCATTTGAGTTTCACAACCGCTGGGAATTTCAGCTGTTCTGCGATCACACTTTGTGGCAACAAATTCCATTATGAAGCAGCAAAGACATAAAAGCAGAAGACGCCCAAGGGACTCTAAGTGACGAAAGCTGGAATATGCCTGCCACCTCCACGCGTAATGATACAAAGTAATTACACTAATGGCAGCAAAGATATTGAAAAAGTATTACATATTACATATTTACATCATGTATGTTCTTGCACTGATTTCAGCTACCTCATGTATGATTTATGTATGTAGATGGCTCTGTTTTCCATGTACAAATCAGTTTTTGTGGCCTAGTGCAGAGGAAAACACTGAATCCTACTTCCTCCAAGCCCCCAAGCAGCTTTTCTGGGAATGATTTAGATTTCATTCTGAGTTGCATATTTTAATATGATGAAATACATACTGATTAAAAAAAAAAAAAAATCTGTTACAGAAAGCCATTGTGGTTATTGTTTGGATATTAGCCCTGAAATGAGAACTTGCACTATGCTTAAAGCAAGGGAGAGGAAAATATGGGAATTGGTTACTCTGACTCTTAGCTAAAATATGCATTTCATTTAGTTTTTCATTTTTATGAAAATACATTTCATTTTTCATTTTTACCTGAAACAAATATCGTTATGCTTAAAGCTTCCTGAGATACTTGAAATATATGTATTATGTCTCTTATGTGATAATTATTCCTTTTATACTCTGGGTTTTTAGACTCATAGAACAGTCTGGGTTGGAAGGTGCCTTCAAAGGTCATCTAGTCCAACTACCTTCCCCGACCCCGCAAAGAGCAGAGACATACCCCAACTAGGCCAGGTTGCCCAGAACCACATCCAGCCTGGCCTTTAATGTCTCCAGGGATGTCACATCCACCTTCCTGGGCAACCTCTGCCAGTATTTTACCACCCTTATTGTGAAGAATTTTTTCCTTGC